GATGTTCCCGCCACTTCACCAGATATGAGGTCTGATCCCGGTGACGACGTCATCCCACTAGACGTTCCACTTGATAGTGGACGTCACCGTTCTCATCAAGGAGAGTCGGTGGCGGGCGGTGACGATCGGGTCGTCCACCGTTCAGTGACTCGTGATGCTCTCCGGGCTCTTTAGGACGAGGTCCTTCGTGATCGGAGCTCCGCTGAGCGTCATGCTGAAGTAGCATATCGCTGTGCGGACGCTCTTGATGATTTGGAACGCGTCGTGCACCGGCTGCTTCGTCTTGAAGACTACCGCGCTCTGTTGGAGCGACTCCTAGCTGTGGAGCAGGCAAATGCGTCGCTGCAGGCAACGGTGAAGGGCTTGGATCCATTAAAAATCGAGGTTGTTGCACTCCGAGCTCAGAACCAGTTGCTGGTTCAGTTTCTGGATGGCCGAGGGCCCGTGGGATCCGCTCTGGCGCCAACGCTTCCTCGCAGAGGGTCAGTCTAGACGACTCAGGTATAGATTTATTACAAATGCTACCAAGTGCAGCGGAGCTACCGTAGCTTTGCGCTCAATGGAAACGTAAGTTAGGCCACCGACCTTTCGTTAAATACTCAGAACAAGTACGAGTTTAGCGGATCGCAATCTCTTACTCCAAGAGTAATTATAGCCTTAATCCAAGGCTAATTGAATCTTCGGTTTAAATTAGCAATGACAGCACAGTGTGGCAAATTCTCGGCACCTCTGTGCTACTCTGATGTCTGTACAGCGCCCAGGAGTGTGAACCAGACTATTGAAATTTTTGTCAAACGAATTCCTGCCATCAATCCCGAGACTGATATCAATATATGGATTATGGGGAGGCATTTCCAAACCAGTAAGTAGCTTTCATAAAAAAATGCCCAGTATCATTACTAAACCATTAACACGTTGTATATACGTAGAGGAAATGACTGCGTCCATACTACATTTCGATCATAACATATCTGCAAACTTCTATTTGATGGATCCTCGTGGATGCAGGAAGAGTACGATTTTAGATTGTGGAGTGCCAACAAGCGATCCAAATTTTGAATATTCCATGGACCCTGCCCAAATTGAGTCATGTGCTACAGATCTAGAATGCAAGTTTGGAGATCTCGCGGCATTTTAGCCTACGAGTGCGGCGCATGACCTTTTCAATTTGATCTCCAAACTTTCAAATGGCGCTAGCACTTTTGTGTATGGTTCGGATTACGAAGCGTTAATGGTGG